CTTGGAGAATAGCTTGACTCCCTCTTCTTTGTGGCAACCCCTGAGATATTGGAAGACTGCTATCATATCTCCCCTAGTGCTTCTCTTCCCTAGACTAGACATCCCCAGTTTCTGCAACCGTTCTTCATATCTTTTAATCTCCAGTCTCCTAATCATCTTTATTTCCCTTCTCTGCACTCTTTCTAGAGTGCAGAGAAGGATAGGGTTTTCTGCTTGAACAGGGGGATGGACTAGAACAGGAGTGTCAAACTCTATTTCATTGATAGCCACATAAGGGTTCTGTTTAACCTCGGGGGGGGCGTGTCTATGGGGTGTGGCCAGCTTGATGTCACTCGTGTTTGGGTTGCCTGTAGGGGCACGAGTGCTCTGCCAGTGAAAACGGGCTCCCAAGCTTCATTTTTTCTGCAGAGGCAGTGCGGACTGTTCCTTTGCTATTTCCAGAGCGGCCCCACTGGCCAGATCCAAGCATCCCCGCGGGCCGCATCTGGCCCCCGGGCCTTGAGTTTGACACTCCTGGACTAGAAGCTCTCCAAAGGACCCTTCCAATTCTTGCTATTCTGTTGTTATTTAAATGACTTTGCGAGCCTTAGGGCCAGGCCTGCCTTCTGAAAATTTGTTGGAAGAGCCATGAAGGGTATTTTATCCCCATCCTTTCACTACTGGTGGGACCAAGACTCCCATCTGTCAGTTTTGACCAGTGAGCCACACATGTTCTTACCTCACCTTCTCCTTTCTTTGCAGTCTTCGTCTTTTAGCAGCATCACCGATTCCACCATGTCGCTGAATATCATCACCGTTACGCTCAACATGGGTGAGTTCAAATCAGCTGCTTGGAAATGGGCCCAGGAGTAGAACTTGGCAGGCGGAAGGAAGATAACCCGTTTAACATTGTGAAGTGACAATTTAGCACGAAGAAGGCTTTGAGGAGAGGGTTTTTTATTCTCCCGATCCAATATAGATAGTCCTCAACTTACGACCACAATTTGAGCCCAAACATTTTTATTGCCAAGCAACAAGTTAGTTTTGCCCCATTTTGCAACCTTTCTTGCCGCAGTCGTTAAGTGAGTCACGGCACTCATCAAGTGAACCCGTCTTCCCCGTGGCTTGTCCGAAAGTCGCAAAGGGGATCGCGTGACCCCAGGGTATTCGCAACCGCCATAAATATGAGTCGGTTGCCAAGTGTCTGGATTTCGAGGACATGACCGCGGGGATGCAGCAGTCGTAGGTATGAAAAGTGGTCGTAAACAGTGGTGGGATTCAACAAGTGTGAATAACCCATTTGCTGAGCATGCTTGCAGTGCATTTGAAAACAGCTCAAAAACTTACCTACTACTGCAGCCCTGGTGAGTAACATTCACTCTGCCGTGCCTATCAGCTGGGTTTCAAACAAAGGAAATCTAGGCTAGAATAGCGCAGGGGAAGGCGGGTGGGCCCACCTGTTCATTAGAGCCAATCTGTTCGCTCTCAGCCGATCATTGGAGGAACCAGTTCGTTCACCTGGTTCTGGCTGAATCCCACCCCTGGTGATAAGTCACTTTTTCAGTGCTGAGCAGTTACTAAATGATCTGTTGTAAGTTGAGGATTACCTACTGATCGTTTCTTGATTGAATAGACCAAGAAATGCTGATTGTAACCACCACACACACACACACACCTTTTTTGCAGAAAAATACAACTTCCTGGGCATCTCCATCGTTGGGCAAAGCAATGAACGTGGCGATGGGGGCATCTACATTGGCTCCATTATGAAGGGAGGCGCTGTGGCGGCTGATGGAAGAATTGAACCCGGAGACATGCTGCTGCAGGTAACCTCTTTTATGGAATGTTGTAATATAACTCCTTGTGTAGGTGTGGGTCACCCATGGCCCAGTGCATAACAGGGCATGCGCAGCCACGCTGAACCACATAGGAAAAAA